GAAGACGATGTTGATGCTAAATCCAGATGGCCAGAGGTATGAGATACTCGCAATGGAGACTTCTCCGGGGATCTACAAACCTTGGGATCCGAAGACAGATTTGATGAAGTTCATGCTACCCACTTCAGATGTGAACTCTTCGGTTTCAGAGATCATCAATTCCAAGTATGTCATTTCACATCCAATTCATAAGATTATCAAATTTCATTTGTAATTTATGAAATTTCTACTTCATTGATACATGTGTGTTATACTTTAACCTGCTGGGAATACCGTATCAGTGTTCACTTCTAAAAGTGCATTGTGCTGATTTTTAGTTGAACTGGCTGATTATTAGTTGAACTGGCTGATTTTTAGTTGATTTTCAGTGAACTGGCTTAAATGTCTGTTGAATAATCTCACCAAATTAACAAACATGACAACTATCTTAACCAGAAAGTCCATGGTGTCTCTCCTAAATACAAGAGCAACTCCTGACATAAATGTTTTTTTGTTTCAATTCGTTTGTTGTCTAAGGAGTAATGCTGCCATGGGTGAAGGCAGCAAGAAGAACAAAAGGAAAAAGCAGAAAGTGAGTGGTTGCTGCAGTACACATAAAAAGAAGAAGAAGGTGTAAACCAATGAAGACTGCCTGCATTCCAAATGACTTAAAATGATTGAGGTTGTTTGTAATGGGATGTTTTTGTATGGTTTTTTGTGTGGCCAATTAAAACCGAAATGTTTTTTTGGTATGTTATTATATGTTTTCGGAGGGAAGTTTGGAACAAAATGTTACTCCGTATTAGATTAAGATGTTTCTTTTGGTATGTTATTATATGTTTTTGGAGGGAAGTTTGGAACAAAATGTTACTCCGTATTAGATTAAGATGTTTCTTTTGGTATGTTATTATATGTTTTCGGAGGGAAGTTTGGAAAAAAATGTTACTCCGTATTAGATTAAGATGTTTCTTTTGGTATGTTATTATACGTCTTGGGATTTATCTATTATTTTAAAAAACGTTTCAAGGTATTCCCTTATTGTGGCTTATTAGGGATGACAATTCAACTCGAACCCGAGTTTAACCAACTCGACCGACTACTTGAATGATCTAACCTAAATCGAAAATAAAATAATCCAAATCCGACGACCTGAAAGTTTTTAAAAGTCGGGTCGGGTATATTACTATCTCCCTTATTCATCTAAGTATGAGTTATATTTTGGTGACATTTAAAGAAAAACGGTTGAAAATGCAAAATTTTGAAATTAACAGATCAACGTATAAAATTTGTTTAAAACAATTAAATTATGTTTAACACTGAATTTTCAATGAAATACTTAGTATTAATTTTTTTAGTGTACATTTAGCCATGTATCTGAGAACGAATTAATTTTAGCATGTGAATCTATCATTTGTTTTTTTAGTGTACATTTAGTAAAATTTGGTAGTGATTTGTACTTTTCATCTCATCAAAAAAATTAGGTGACGTATAGCAGTGAAAAAGAAAAGGTGAAGTCAATCTCCTTTTCCACTTTCCTTGGGACCTACGGTATAGCGAGTACAGTGGAAACCCAAATTGGGATCGCGCTGGGATGAAATTATGCCAAGGGTGAAATCGAGCTCTTATGTTCAGACATGGCCGGCGGCGAGTAATTTCAGCCACAGTTGAGGTCTAGCTGTTTCTTCATCACTGCGGTATTTTTGGCGATGAAGCAATACTCCGCTAGTAACCCTTCATGACAGGAGTCTGGTAAGTCACCATTCTTATCTCAATTACGTATGGATAAATCGTGGATGAAATCCGATAGAAGAAGCAGAGAGTATGAACTAGGAGTGGATGAATTGTTAAGGTCTGCAAGTGAAAACAGATTTGAGGGACAAAAAATTAGTTGTCCATGTCTAAAGTGTGTCCACACAAAATCCTGGAACACACAAACAGTTAGGGGACATCTTTTCCAACATAGTATTGATGAATCATATACATGTTGGATATGGCACGGAGAGCTAAATCCAGATGATGAACCCCCTCACCCACACAATAAACGTGTTCGTGACTCATTTGACGATGGAACAGAAGAAAACAACGAAGAAGATGGTGATGACAGGTCTTTTGAATACTCTGATTTCATGAACCATGTCCAAGGGGATTCTGAACCCCTTTACCCGGGATGCAAGACCTACACTAAGCTGAAGGCACTAGTGAAGCTATATAACTTGAAGGCAAAGCATGGGATTTCTGATTCATGCTTCTCTGAAATTCTGCTTTTGCTGGGTACATATCTCCCAAAGGGCAACTGCCTGCCTTCGTCATTTGGTGAAGCAAAGAAGACCTTATGTGCTTTAGGTATGGAGTATCAAAAAATACATGCATGCCCAAATGATTGTCTTCTGTATAATGGCGAGAGAGATGAAGATAGTACAACATGTCGCATATGTGGGATCTCTAGATGGAAGTTGAATAGAAAGGGCAAAGAATTGGAAGGGGTACCCGCTAAGGTTTTGTGGTATTTTCCTTTACTTCCGAGGTTGAGGAATTTCTTTAATACACCACAAATTGCAAAGGATATGACTTGGCATGACAGCGAACGACAAAAGGATGGCAAGATTAGACACCCCGCAGACTCGAAAACATGGAAGGATGTTGACAGCCGGTGGCCTGAATTTGCTTCTGACACTAGGAACCTTCGGTTAGCTTTATCAACTGATGGATTCAATCCATTCCGTGGAGTTTCTACAACGTACTC